TTCTAGCAAGCCTTGTCTGTACCATTAAGCTTTGCAGTGGCCCTTTTCTCTCCACACTACATTTTTGTATTTTTGTCCCCCTTGCTCTTTCTTCATTGTAGTCCTGCATAAGTATAATTACTAGTAACTGTGTGATGGAGGCAATACTAACCTGTCTTGAATTCTCCTCCACCAAAGAATTTAGTCCATTACTTTTTAATTTAGCCTCAGGAAAGTTCTTAGAATGTGGGCAAAAAAGAGCCACACTTTTTAACAATATCAAGAACAGTCCTAGCCCCGTTGCTAATATTGTTTTCTTCTAAAACTTCTTGAGTTGGGCCTCCACAGTCTTCATAGCTCTCAGCCCTGCTGTCTTCCAAGCTCCGACCAGGCTGGTACCTTGATTCTGCTTATAGTGTTCTGCTGATTTCCTACTCTAAATTTCCAGGTTCTTTAACTGACAACGTCCGATACCCCAACATAAACTGGACTGGTGTGGGGGCATGGGGAATAATTGAGACACAGTTCACACAGCAATATCAGAAGGGGGTCTCAGAGTTCATTCAAATCCTGAAGATCACCTGCGTTTATTATCCGAACACCTTTTATCCCCCAAGGTAAACCAAGGGGGAAGTTCATTAACATTCTGTTTCTGGGATAGCAGTACTACAGTCACATCTGCAGCTCTGTCACTAGCTTGGAACTGACCCGTCTTCTCAGGCATCTACATAATTACAAAGCAAGGAGCAGCATATCCTGAGCTTTTTGTTAGGGTAGCACAGCCTGTCTGGAGGGGTACGTGACTGCTTCAGATACCAACCCTGGCCTGAGAACCTGGCTGTCACACCATGTAGAAATATGGACCTACATTTAACATTCATCAAAATGTTAAATAAAAATAACAGTGTGGTCAGATCTGTTACAGCAATAACCCAGTCCTTGGTGCCAACTTGTGTCTCAGTCACATCCTCATTGTTGTGATGAAACAGCACGACCAGGGTTACTTAATAGAAGGAAAGGTTTATTTGGCTTATGGTTCCAGAGGGATAATAGTCTGTCACCATCATGGTGGGAAAGTGTGGCAGCAAGCCCCAGGCATGGTGACAGAAACAACTGAGTGCTTAAATCTCAGACCACAGCAGAGAGGGCACACGGGGTGACAGGAGGCTTTGAAGCCTCAGAACCTGCTCCTAGTGACGCACTTCTTCTGGCAGTGCCTCACCTAGGAGTCTCCTCGTCAGTTGGGGACTAAGTATACAAATGCCCCAGAATATGTGGGGCATCTTATTCAGGCTGCCACAAAAAGATGCTATATCTCTATATCTTGCTTAAAATAGAATTAAATTTTTCACAATACTTGTTATCTGAAAGTGTCTTTATCAGGTATCATATCTACTAATACCAATAAGGTCTAATAATGTCACAAGTCATGTTTTTCTTTGAAAGGCATATATTCAGGGCCATCAAGAAGCTCAGTGGGTAAAAGTCCTTACTGCCAAGCCTAACAATCTTGAGTTCAGTTCTGGACACACATAATGGGAGGAGAGAACCAACTACTATAAGTGCCCTGGCTTCCACACACACATGTACACATGCAAACACACACACTAAATAAAGAAATGTAATAAAAAGGCATATGCTCTTGTCAGCTCTTTGCGAGTTCAAGAAAGAAACAATACACTTAAACCTTTGTCCCTTTAGAACTGAGAGGTATAATGTAAGTCCAACTTAAACTTGGCTTAGTTTGCAACACATTCCTTTCAACACACACACACACACACACACACACACACACATACTTTGTAAGAAAATTCATTTTTTTAGTGTAAAATTTTATTGGTGACATAGATAAAATAATTAAATTAGTCTTTCAATCTGGAGGTTTTGATTTGGCTCATCTCTTTAGTTTTGCTTCGTTCTATAAAGTAGAGAGAGTCAGAGCTAGGAGAGTAAATGTTGTATATAATCCAATAGAGTTTATAGTAGCTGGGAATTCGCTATATATACAAGTCAGCAGATTTACTGAGAGTGTCCCCATATTGTGTGTGGCTCGGTACAGTTGAGATAAGTAGGCACAGACGTCTACTGTTTCATTTCCCCAGAGTGCAGGTATGCTGGCTAGTTATGTCAGCTTAACACAGACTGGGGTCATTTGGAAAAGGGGCCTCAACTGAGAAAATATCCCCACCAGATTGGCCCAAGGGAAAGCCAATAATGCATTTTCTTGACTGATGTGGAAGGGCTCAGCTCACTGGGAGCGGTGCCACCCCTGGGCTGGTGGTTCTGGGTTCTATAAGAAAACAAGCTGGGCAAGCCATTGGGAGCAATAAGCCACACCTCTCCATGACCTCTGCCTCTGTTCCTGCCTTGGTTTTCCTGTGGTGGCTTCCTTGGATGGTGGACTGCAAGCTGTAGGAAACCCTTTTCTTCCCAAGTTACTTTGGTCTTGATGCTTTATCACAGCGTGTTAAGACAGTGTCAGTGTTAGTTTTAGCTTCTTTCTGAGATTACCACCTTCCTTGAGGGGATAACATATTCTAACTTGGGATCTAGAAGCCTTTTGCTTTAGTTTAGATATTTTTGATTTCATTTATTTTGTGTGTTGGAGGGAATTGTGTATACATGCCACAGTGTTCTTTTGGTGGTCAGAAAACAGCCCACAGAAGTTGGTTCTTTCCTTCCATCATGTGAGTCCTAGCAAATGAGCTTACATTGGCAGACTTGGTGTTGGTGGCAGGGTCCTTTCCCAACTGAGATATTTTTTCTGGTCCTGCAGATAAGACTTTCTTTCCATGTATATTACATGTGCATATGACTTGATCAGAAACATGTCTGATAAGGAGCTAAAACTTAAAACCTTTCAATTCATTCAATGGGATTCTGCCCCTTTTAGTTGGGCTTAAGGATTCTTAGCATCCATGCCATTAGTTCTCCTAAGTCCTGCAGTGTGTGCTTGGGAGTTTTTACCGTCCATGTGTAGCAGTCGAAGATTAAGTGCATATAAATCTAAATAATAGGTTGATGGAGATAATTGGCTTGATGTTAGGAGAGGTGATACTGGGACAGATTTGGACATTCATTTATACTGTTTATGTTTTAACGTTTTAGAATGGTAACAGGTGTTCCTACTTATTCCTACATTTTTATATTTAAATAACCCAAATATATGAAATTCTCTAGTGAGTCTTTCTTGTCAGAATTTCTTTAGACTGCCAACCCCCAAATAATGACATGGAGACTTACTAATTATGAAAGCTTGGCCTTTAACTTAGGCTTGTTTCCAACTAGATCTTATAATTTAAGTTAACTTGTTTCTATTAATCTATGTTCTGCCATGTGACTTTTTGCCTCTCCTTGGTTCTGTCTATCTGACCACCTTTGTACCTCACTGGAACATGCCAGATTCTAACCCTGAATTCCTCTCTTTGCCTGCAAGTCTCTCCTAATTCCTCCTACCTAGCTCTTGGCCATTCAGCTCTCTATTAAACCACTCAGGTACCTTAGGCAGGTGAGGTAAAACATAGACACATTTTTATACAGTGTGATCAAATATCCTGCAACAGAATTTATACTTCATTTTTAAAAGAAGTGCCAAGTATAGTAAGATTATGTGCTTTATACCTCACTTGATGGTAGTAGTCTAACAGACCACATACTGAATGATAATTTAAGTGCAGAAATACTAAATTCATACTTTAGATTCTCTGTTGTTATTAAAAGAATTTGTCCACAATGCAGACATTTTTAGAGTTTTATCTTTTGTTAATTTTTTAGTTAGAATATGAAGTAATGGGTCTCATGCCATTTTCTTTTCTTTCTTTTTGTCTGTTTGAGCCAGGATTTCCCTCTGTAGCCATGGTTGTCCTGGAACTCACTCTGTAGACCAGGCTGGCGTCAAACTCAGAAATCCACCTGCCTCTGCCTCCCGAGTCCTAGGATTAAAGATGTACACCTGATGGGACTCCCCTCTGCATGCTATAAATATATTTTATTACTATTGGTTAATAAAGAAGCTACTTTGGCCTATGGCAGGGCATAATAAAGCCAGGTGGAAAATTTTAAACATAGATATATAGAGAAAATAGGCAGAGTCAGGGAGATGCCATGTAGCTGCCGAAGGAGAAGGATGCCAGAACCTTTACTGGTAGCCACAGCCTCATGGCAATACACAGATTAATAGGAATGGGTTAATTCAAGATGTAAGAGCTAGCTAGAAATACGCCTGAGTCATTGTCCAAGCATTGCTGTGATTTGTATAGTGTCTGTGTAACCATTTGGATCTGGATGGCTGGGAAATGAACAAGCAGCCTCCATTTACATGCACCATAACTGCCTGGCTCGTGGTGACATTTCATTTCATGTATGTATGTAACTATATCTTGTTCTTATTTGTTCCTCCTCCCTTGCTCCCTTCTTTAGTCTTCTTTCTCCCCTGTCAATGTTCTCTTTCCGTTTTTGTGAGCTATAGATATAGGTGTACACATACTTTAAATTTAAATCTGTATTTTCTATATGAAAGAACGCATGGCACTGGGTTATGATTCTACTGCATGGACTGACTTTGTGGGAGCCTGGTTTGTTTAGATGCTCACCTTTATAGACCTGGATGGAGTGGGGAGGACCTTGGACTTCCCACGGGGCAGTGAACCCTGACTACTCTTAGGACTAGAGAGGGAGGGGGAGGTGGGGAGGAGAGGGAAAAGGGAGGCGGGAAGGAGGTGGAAATTTTTAATAAATAAATAAATTTTAAAAATTAAAAAAAAAAGAATGCATGATATTTGTCTTTCCGAGTCTGGGAAAGTCGGCACTTTTCTCGGGGATTGGAAGTTTTCCCATGTAGTTCTGGCTATCCTGGAACTTTACTCCTGGCTGACCTCAAACTCAGAGATCCCCCCGCCCCTGCCTCCTGAATTCTAGGACTTAAGATGTACAACACCACACCTGACTACGTCAGCACTTTTTGAAGAGAATTTCTGTTCTTTCATGTTAAGTGTAATGCCAATGTTTTATGTATGTTTCAGGATTGGGACGGCTGCCCTGGCAGTTCAGGTTGTGGGCAGTAATTGGCCCAAGCCACACTACACTTTGCTGATCACAGGCCTGTGCCGGTTCCAGATTGTGCAGGTCTTAAAAGAGAAGCCCTATCCCGTGGCTGAAGTGGAGCAACTGGATCGACTTGAGGAATTTCCCAACACTAGCAAAGCCAGGGAGGAGCTGGGAGAGCTGTCGGAGCAGTTCTACAGATACGCAGTGCAGGTGAGCGGCTTCCACTTCCCCCAAAAGCTTTTCCCCTTTGGTTCTTTGCTGTCCTGGGCTCAGGTGACTCTGTGAGGTGGCCAAGCTGTAGGGCTATGTAGAGCTGCATACATTGAAATGATTTGTGGTATTTTATAGTGTATTCTAGTTTTCTTTTGTCTAGGTTTGTACTTAAATCATCTGGACATATGGCCAACTCTAAAAGTGTTCCAAAAGATAAGACTACAATTTCTTGAGAATCCCCAAAGCCTCCCAACCAGATGCCTGTTAACCCTAAGTGTTTAATGTTAAAATGAAATAACCCAGAGCTGCCACTGAAGTACCTAGTCAGGACACTAGAAGTTATGTTGTTTCAGGTCCAGGCACACTGCACGGGTTAGTGACAGTGGAAGGGTGAAGCCATAGCAACCCAGTTTCAAGAACGGTTGCACTTTTGGCTCGCTAGACTGCCAGGGGAAGCATGCCTTGGCTGTTCATGAAGAATTGCACTCCTTAAGCCTAGGTGTCAGTTGTTTTGGTCAATCCTAGATTTAAAACCTCCTCTCTCATCTCGTTTACTTAAAACTATAATAAAAATGCAAAATTGTATCATGAAATGTTGTCTTCCACCCTCTATTAGTGTAATCCACTGTCCCTGCCTGAGTCTGTGAGGACTAGCTGGTGTCTAAGGTCTCGATTTCAGGCACCACTGACTTCTGAAGTGTGGAGCAGATGTGCACAGCCTGTGGTGTGTGCTTCTGATGGCCATCCAAAGAGATCGGCTCTCCTGACATGGGGAACAGCAATAGAAATATGGAGGGTCAGGCTGAAGGAAGACTGTCCCGGCAGAAAGAACCACAATATGAGAACTGGTCCAGGCAGGCTTGCATACTCCTGATTTGCAGAGACGGTGGGAGGTAGAGCAGCTCCTGCCTCATGCAGAAGCACAGTTCTGTAGCCTCTTTTCTGGCCTTTCTCCTCTCCAGTTTGAGTCCACAAAATCCTGTTAAATGTGGAGGTTTTACAGTGACATTAGAAGAACTTTTGTAGGGAAATTAGATTAGTTTCCACCTTTTTTCTTCTGGATTTGGTCTATACTCCAATTTGTTTCATTTTTATACCTGTGCTTTATTTTGTGTTACATACTTTTAGTTAAGTCCGTGCACTGAAGCCACTGGCTTTACTGTCCTGCTTAGACTGGAAGAATGTGTTTAAGTGAGCGCTTCTCCTGCCTTCCCTTCAGCTCATTCAGGGAGACTTGACTCTTCTGGAATGTTCTGAGTTCCTTCTACTCTCTCCTGTTTCTACTTGCTGAGCCTTTCTTCAGACATAACAACCACCCAGGCTGAGAGTCTGTCTTCATGGTAGAGCTGTCTTGGGATGCCCAAGGCCAGGGGTGGCTTCTCTTGAGGAAAACACGTAGGATGAACTTCAGATTTCCTAATAATGCTAAGGCCTTGTCTCAGGCCTGTCTTCTTCATCTCTAGTAATTAAGCAGATATCAATATGTCTAACCATGCTGAATAGCAAAATAGCCCCACATTTGTAATTTTTGCCTTGTGTTCCCTCTTTCTTCTCTGAATTTTAGACTCTGTGCTCTGCAGTTGCTGTGTGGTGCCGCGCTTCTTCCCTGTTCTGCTCAGCCGTGCGTCATCAGTGCTAACCGTCTTGTGTCCCACAGACCCCGTCGGCTGTCCTGCGTGAGCGGCACACTCTTTAGCAGACAGCTTCTGCTCACAGGCTGGGGATGAATTTAACTTTTGCTTTCTACGAATGAATTCCCGGGAACAAGATTCTTTGAGTTTTTGTGGGGTTTTTAATGGCTTTTTGTTTGTTTGTTTGTTTTTATGTATTTTTCCCCCAGCTATCTTTATATAGTTTTGCTTTAATCCCTTTGATTATTGGAAAGTAATCGATAGTTCCCCAAATTACAGTGTTTTCAGAGCTGTTTATTACTGGCCTGTGAAATCTTACTAGAGTTAGTTGTATGAGGATTTGGTATATCATTTATAAATTAGGATGAACCAAGTTTTCTATCTTAGCCACAAAGCAGAACTTACATAATAAAGGTTTATTTTTTGCTATGGCTTCATACCTAAAATTACAGATGTAATGGTCTGCCTTTTAATATCACTTAAGAGTCAAGGTAGACTGGATTTAATTTCAAGGTATTTTCTTTATGTTTACACAGAAAAAGCAAATCTGGCAAATCATTTGGTGCCTTAGTATTTCTGCCCAGAAACGTTTCAAAGATCAGCACAAGACCGCAGCTGCCTCTGTAGTCAGAGGAGATGAGGAGGAGCAGGCCTACTGTGTGCCCTGATGAAAGGGGACTTCTGTCATTTGTCCTTATCTTCAGCCTAATGTGTTGCAGTATTCTAGCCTGCAAGTCTTGTTTGTTTTGTGTGTTCACCAACTAAATTATCAATGTGCATACTAATTAACCCAAATAGTATACTAAAAAATCAGGATTTCAATTAGTAATTGGCTATCATATTAGCATCAACTGTGCTATTAATTTCCATAATCTAATTATTACATTGTAGTTATAGAAAAGTGTTTTTTGATTAGGAATAAGAGTCATGATGCCTGCAGCTTACATGTAGTGTGACTGTGAAGTGAACAGAGAGAGCCACGTCACAGATAGGAAGAATTAGTGAATCTAGATGGGGAAGGCACGGGGCTCATCATATTCTTCTTGTAGCTTTGTTATAGACTGAGGGGCCACTGACAGTGGCACTGGGCTTTGTCTCTATGGCATGGACTGGCTTTTTGGGAGCCTATTCTCTTTGGATGTATGCCTTGCTCAGCCTAGATGTAGTAGGGAGGGCCTTGGACTTTCCACAGGGTGCCTTGCCCTCTCTTAGGATTGGAGGGGGGTGGAGTGGAAGGGTGTGTGGAGGGAGTGGGAGGGGGGAAGGAGTGGGAATTTGGATTAGTATTTTTTTAAAGTAATAAAATAAAAAAATAAATTTGAGTTTTAAAGTCATAGCAAATTTACAAAGTCTTGTATAAATTTTAGTGTTAAATACTTACTAGCCATTTTCGCTTTTCATTCACAGACATTTAAAAATATTTTATTACATTTACTTGGGACAACTTTCAGGATTCAGTTCTCTCCTTCTACCATGTGGACCCTGGAGGGGGGGGGGCAGGTCACCAAGCCTGGAGAGAGGCACCTGTACCTCTTCTCGGGCCCTCCGATGTGCTTTTGTGAAGTACGTGTTCGGCCTGTGAAATGCTTGCCACGTGTGGATCAGTGATCTTTCAAAACAAAAGATGCAGATGTAACATTAAACCTGTATGAAAATCCGATTATTTTAGTTCACAAACGCCACTGCTTTATTTCATTAGACTTTCTCTTTTTTTCCTTTTAGTTGGTTGAAATGTTGGATATGTCAGTCCCTGCCGTTGCTAAATTGAGACGTCTTTTAGATAGCCTTCCAAGGGAAGCTCTACCAGACATTCTAACTTCGATTATTCGAACAAGCAACAAAGAGAAGCTGCAGGTACTGTGCCCTCCAGAATAATCTGGATAGTACTTACACTTTCGCCTTCATAAATGCATTCTAGAGATGCAAGGATGTAGTTAAAATGCGTTTTCTTTAAAAAAAATCAGCTTCTGCCAGGCATTGTGGCACATGCTTGTCATCCAGGCACTTGGGAGGTAAGGGCAGAGAGATCAGAAGTTCAGGGTCATCCTTGGCTGCACATGGATTTCAAAGCCAACTTTGGCTACATGAGACTGTCTCTCGAGAAAGGAGGAGGAAGTGGGAGGTGGAAAGAAAGAATGTGAGCTGACTTTCACAGGTGGTTGTTTTACCAGGCCTGGTAACACACAGCTGTAATCTCAGCCCTCTGAATCAGCAGTTTAAGACTAGCTTAGACTGTACAGTCAGACTGTGTGCCAAGACCCAAAGCAAACAGAGTTTATATTGTTGTTGACACAATCAGTGCTTTGGGGGGCACAATCAGTAGTATTGGTGGTCAGTTAATTAAAACAGAGAAAGCAAAAATTATTTTTAAAGAAAATGTTTAATTTTTATTTAAATTTAATTTTTAAAAATTTCACATATTTGGTATGTATAGGGGTGGTCAGAGATTGATGTTGGGTGTCTGTCTCCATCACTTTACACCTTACTCCTTTAGACAGGGTCTCATTGAACCTGGAGCTCTCTGGTTGGCTAGATTGGCTGGCAGTGAGTTCTCGGATATCTGCCTGGCGCTTCCCCTGCCCTTTAAGTGCTAAGGTTATGGAGGTGAGCCAGCACACCAGCTTCTGCATGGTTCCTGGGAATCCAGACTCAGGTCCTCAACTGATAGGCTCTGGTTGGTGCAGTCAGAAGGAAGCAGGAGAGAGAAGACTTGCTCTGGAGTGACCTGGCTGCAGCATTAGTGAGCACATTATCCTGAGGGAGTGTGGGGTGCCGCAGGTACCAAATCAGGCTGTCCTTGAGATCTGTTAACCATCTATAGAAAAGTTTAGTATTTGGGGCTGGAGTGATGGCTCAGTGGGTAAAGTGCCTGCTTGTTATGTAAGCATAGGACCTGAGTTCAGAGTTTTAGCGCCCATGTCAAATCCAGGCATGGAGTATGTGTGTGTTTGTAACTCCAGCACTTCAGGAGACAGTGGTTCCCGGGGACTCACTGGCTAGTGAGTGTCTAGACAAGATGGTGAGTTCTGGGCTCACTGAGAAATCCTATCTCAAAAGATAAGTTAGAAAGAAAGGAAGATACCTGACATTGATCCCTTTGACCTCTTAGCACATGTATGCATGCACACCACACACATGCACGCACGCGCGTGCACACACACACACACACACACACACCATGCATACACAGATATATACACAAATTAATATTTTGATTCTAGAATTTGCTGAGATCCAAAATATATATAGACTATTCTCAGAAACAGTTGAAATCAATTATGTTTGGTTCTCTTTTCTTTTAAGTACTAGAATTGAACCCTGGATCCTACACATACTAGGCAAGGTTATCTAATATCATTCTATATGCTTGGTCCTATTTTTTTTGCTTTGTGTTGTGAGACAGTGTCTTGTTAAGTTGCTCAGACTGTCCTTGAACTCACTCTAATCCAGGTAGGCCTTGAACTTGACACCCCTGTCCCTCATTCTTTCAAGTAGCTAGGATTATAGGCTTGTGATACCAAGCCCAGCTATATGTTTAGCTCTTGTTCATGGGATATATGACGTTTTAAATCAATATTTTTGTGTTTTTTTTAAATTCTGTTCATTTATGCTTTGCTGATAATATAGTTAATTTGATGGTGTTAGCCATGCTAATGCATGATTCCTGTCATGATTGTTACCAGAATTGTTGAGGTTCTTTCAGTTTAGAGGAGTGTACATTGAAAATTGGCAGGTAGCTGCCTCTCATAGCTCCCTACAGGAGACTGGATGACCCAGGCCCAGTGTGGCCATGGTACCCAAAGTGGCAAGGAGGTAAGAGGTTCAGGTTGGGCTGAAGGTGAGGCCCACCATAACACAGAGTGCTCAGAGCTGCTCCTTAGGCAGTTCCGCCTCGGCAGCACTGACAACTGCCCAGGCACGGCTACCCTGCCCTGATAGGGCCCCAGAAGGGCCAGGGCCATGCAGATAATAGTTTTGCCTTTCTTGTAATTTAAGAACTTAAATCATGGTTCTATCTACTCATGTTTAGAGCATATGCTTCCGGAAAAGGTGCTATTAATTTACTCACCCTTTCTAGATCTTAGATGCTGTGAGCCTGGAGGATCGGTTCAAGATGACCATACCCCTGCTTGTCAGACAGATTGAAGGCCTGAAATTACTTCAAAAAACACGAAAACCCAAACAAGATGACGACAAGCGGGTAAATATCTTTTTTTTCTTTCTTTCTTGGCAGGATCTTGCTTTGTCACCCAGACTGGTCTTGAGCTCACAGCAATTCTCTTTCCTTAGCCTCAAGAGTGCCAAGGTTATAGACACATGGCACCATACCCAGCACATTCTTTTATTACATTTTCTTTCTCTCTCTGTAATATGAGACTAAGTTCTTTTGAGAAAAGAAAAACTTGGAAGCCAGTGTGTGATTGTATTTGTAGCTCCTAGGGAGCTTGAAGTTTTTATCTCTTGAGTGTAGGAGATGGAAGCCAGCATGAGCTACATAGCAAGAACCTATCTCACAAATAGACAAGCAGACAGAAAACTTGAGAAGAATTTGAAAATAAAGAAGACAAAGTTTGTTGTTTCTCAGAAGATCTTGATGTGTCCAGAGTAGTTCTTTTTCTTGCCTGGATTTTCTCCTCTTTCCTTTTAGTGTATAAGCCCCATCTCAGCTCTTCACAACCTTCCCAGAATGCTAGTATATCATTTTTGACTAGCAATAGTTGGAGTTAGTTCATGAGACTAATGAGTTGGGAATTCAAAGAATACATATAGTACTTTTAAAATATTACAGCAAAATCATGGGGAAAAATCAGGTGGTGTTGGTGCGTGCCTGTAATCCCAGCACTTAGGAGGCAGGTAGATCTCTGAGTTCAAAGACAGCCCCATCTTCAGAGAAAGTTCCAGGACAACCAGGGCTACAACAGAGAAACCTTGTCTTATGGGGAGGGCGGGGGATCATGGGAAGAGAACATGTAAGTAAAAGCCATTTGAGGAGGGAAAGGTTTTCACATTGACATAGAAAAGAGTTTAGATTGGAAAAAGAACAATTTGAGCATGATGGAATAGAAGCCAGAATTTACTGAAGCCCAGTAATTAGTGTGTGTGTACGTGGGGGGATTAGCAGCCCCCTGCTGGAGAAGTGGAACATCACAAGAAGGCAAGTAAGCAAGGGGGCACTCGCGCAGGACAGGTCATGAGTCATATGAAGTTGAAAGTAATGTGGAAAGGTTGGGAATGCTGAGACATTCGCGTGCAGGAGCGCGATGGCAGTTACTGGTGTCAGTGGTGGTACATGTGAGTGCGATGGCAGTTACTGGTGTCAGTGGTGGTACATGTGAGGAAACAGCCGTGCAGTTAAGTGCAGACGACACCTGTGCTCCCTAGTGCTTCTTGTAGACACTTCCTATCTGTTGTGTGCACTGACAGCCATGCTCACTTTATGCTGGTCTGCTTTTTAATTCCACGGAACAAATGTGTGCACCTGCCGTGCAGTAGTTGTGAACCTTATTTCCTAAAGTGCTGTGGAGCACCATCCTGGCTTACCTTGGCCTTGTACTTCTTTCCTCTCCTTCTCGTTCTTTCTCACACTCCTTTTTGCTTTTTTTTTTTCTTGTCTTGTCTTTCTTGTGTTTTATTAATATTTTGGAGACAGGGCTCACTTGAGCTTTGACTGCCCTGTAAATCTTAGCCCTCCTGCCTCAGCTTCTATTTGTTTTGACATATACTTTCTACTCAGGTTATAGCAATACGCCCCATCAGGAGGATTGCACATATCCCAGGGACATTAGAAGATGAGGATGAGGAAGAAGATAATGATGACATTGTCATGCTGGAGAAAAAAATAAAAACATCTAATATGCCGGAGCAGGCTCATAAAGTCTGTGTCAAAGAGATAAAAAGGTAAAAGTTTGTTAGTATTTTCATTTTACTTGCTAATGTTAAAAGTTATTGCTTGTGGAAATTTGGTTATACTGCCTCGAGTCACAGACTAAAGCTGCTTTATTGTTTATTCTCTGATCTTTCTTATGCTTGATCAATTCTTAGGCTACCTATGCATATTACCTTACCGCCCACTCTTGTCCTTCTTGACCTTCCTAATGACGGCCTTTCTACCTCCTTCCCTTCCTCCCTTCCTCTCTCCCCCCTCTGTCCCTCCCTTCCTCCACCCACCTCTTTCTTTTTCTTTTTCTTACAATTTATGTTTTTACTTGTATGGGTATTTAGCCTGTACATACATACAGTGCCTGAGGAGGCCAGAAGAGAACATAGGATCCCCTGGGATTGGTGTTACAGATGTTTGTGAGCCACCATGTAGTGCTAGAAATCAAACCCTGGTCCTCTCTCTGTAAAGGGCAGCAAATGCTCCTAACTGCTAAGCCGTCCTCCAGCCTTACCTTCTTTTATTCTTTACTTACAGCTGTGATTGGTGGAGTTTTCTTCCTCTGTCTTCATTGCTTTGTGTAGCTTATGTCTTGAAACATTTCTTCTTCTCAGTTTTTTTTGGAAAGGATCTCTCTGTGTAAATCAGACTGGCCTTGGCTTTGAACTCAGCCTCAGCCTCCTAAGTTAATAATAGACCATAGACAGGTACCACCATGCTCAGCTGTGAAAACAGTATTAATACTCCTAAATCACACCACATTCACTGATCTTTTCTTCAAAGACTGAGAGGTGATTCATCTGTTCTGCTTGTATTCTGCCGCCACACTGAACTATTGTAGCTGCCTTTTCAATGTCTAAAGGAATTGACCAAATTCCTTTATTTAGTTCCAGTGTTGTTCATGAGTCAGAGGTCTGTTTGCTTTGTGGTTCTAAGAGTTTAACCCAGGACACACACGTGTCTGCTACTGAGCTGCATCCCAGCTCTGTGGTTTGTTTTCTCATTAGATGATAAATCCCAGGGAGAGCTGGGGCTATAACTCTGCAGTAGCATGCTTGCCTGTCACATACGAGGGCCCAGGTTCTGTCCCCAATGGCAGTGAATTCATTAGTTAACTCCAGGGGATGGGGACTCTCAATTTTTCCTTGTATAGGCAAACTACAGGAAAGCCTTAAAAAAAATAGAATATATTTTACTTATTTTTTTACTTGTATGGGCATTAAGTCTGTACCTACTTACAGTGGATTGCACATTCATAATAACCATGAAGTTTAATAGAGCATCCATTTTTTGGTGTGTGTGTGTGTGTGTGTGTGTGAGAGAGAGAGAGAGAGAGAGAGAGAGAGAGAGAGAGAGAGAGAGAG